TTTTTTTTAAAATGTAATGAGTAAAAAGTGCAGATAATTGTGTGAAAATGTAAGAAGTAGAAGTAAAAAGAAGGCTGAAAAATAATTACTCAAGTAAAGTACCGATACCCAAAAATTCTACTTAAGTACAGTAACAAAGTATTTGTACTTATTTTACAACTCTGCAGATGACACTTATTAGTTTATGTATAGGACCACCAGTAGCCTTTCACCATCGAAGACATAACAGATGCAGAATCAGAGCAAAGAATCTGACGGACCCCACCCATCCACCCCATCACCCCCAACAGTTGATGTCTCTAAACCAACAGCTTTTAAAGAAACTTGTGGTCTAATTTAAGAGGGTAGATCCCTAAGAATCATTATTCCCAAAGTTGTTGACCCAKAAAATAACACAAGAGAATTGTGACGTCCAACAATCACCGGTTGAAGCATAAACTAAACAGGGACATAATGTCTCAGACAGCCTTAAAGACCAATAATTTGTGCCCACAGTGGGGTCCTAACCCTTACTTTGGCAACCAATGATCTAAAATAATTAAAAAGCTTATCTWTGTGATTTTAGTTTAAAACTTTAGAGGACTTTAAAACTTTTGAATCAACTCTGTTAGCAAAATATTTCATSAAACWCTGGACRGTTTGTAATAAAATTGTYAGAACGTCRTCAGTGTAGCTSTGCAACTGATTGGAGTCRGACCWRTAAAAAGACTAATTACAAATGAATGAGAAATAAACTTTAGGAGTAGATTTAAATTCCTTTTCCTACATTTGTTCAAACTTTAAGATATTTGGCACGATGCCGAGCACACATTAAACCCACTGCTGCTGCATGCTTGAATAAATCGTTATGCCAAGAGACAGAGAGCGTCTGTGGAGCTCACTGCAGGACAAATATGTGTGTGGTTACATAACACGCACATATATCTGCTGTAGGCGTGCTCYGTCCGCTTTCAGAACTTCTCCTGATTCACTGTAGGTGACTGACAGCTCGGTAAACACTTGTGTCATTTTATCCAAACACACACTCGGAGCGTCGAGTGTGAGCGGCTTGGCTACRTGTGCTCACAGAGGAGAGCCTGTTCTCCGCCGGGGCAGGGCATCCTGCTTGCCGGTGACCCCGCGCTGCCTCCGCCTGAACGATCCGTGTGTGTGAGCTGGAACACGAGAGCAGCAAAACATTCCTTTACTCTTTTWAAAAGAAGTATTTTTTTTGCACTTTTTGGTTATTGACATACCGGGTTTGGCCTCATCGCGTTGATCTTTATCTGCTTCTTTATTCTCAGCTAAACAATGAAGCTTTCGGCGTAATTACCGCAGGCGTGGTGCTGGATCTTCAGGTTGTTGTAACAATCAACTGTCACAAGCACAAAGCAGAAAATCTCGAGTCCTGCGTCAAATTCAGAAATGTTTTTCACCCTTTTAGAATCCTTAACTCYAACCTGTTACACATTTAGACTCGTGCAAAATGAAATGCTTTAATTGAAAGTTAGAGTATGAACAGTACAGACTCTGTATTA